CACGCCCACACACTCACACACACTTACTAATAGACACATACACACTTACACAGTCTTGCACACATACTCACAAATTAATTGTATTGTTTGTTGCTCCTACCTTTAGGAGTCTTCTGGGTCCTCTCCCCATGATCCAGTGACTTTCATGATCTTCCTGCTCCTCTCTCCTCCCTCGCACTGTTTAGTGATGCGGGGCCGGAATTACATCATATTCCGGCTCCCGGCATCACCACAGAGGGCATGCGAGGGAGCAGGAAAATCATCAGCACATGCAGTGCTTCCTCGCCGCCTGCCTCCTTCCTCACCTGGCCAGTATATTGCTGCAGAGTAGGCACTTGTCGTCTGGGATAAGCAGGTGCCTACCCAACTTGCTACAACTTGCTTGGCCGTCTGCTGGGCTCCCTGTGACAGGCCATTGGCCTGCTCCACGCGGTGCCCCCCACTTCCTTGCGCCTGGGCGGAGTGCACCCCGTGCACCCGCCCATGATCGGCCCTGTGTATCCACAGGGCGATCAAAAATGTTATTAAACAAAGCCTGTAGGGTGAGTGTAAGATCTTCTCTGGTGTTAATAGGGGGTTCTGGAAGGCCCCTGATTCTCAAACTGTTTCTCCGACCCCCTATATCTAGGTCATCTAGTCGTCTATGGAATTGGGCTAGAAAGTAGGTGTGTTTGCACACCTGTTCTTGTAGGTTTTGGAGGTTTAAGTCTTTGGAGTCCCTTTCATCCTCCAGCGTTTGTTCTCTGGAACCCAGATGGTGAATGTCAGTCCTTAGGGTAAGTATCTCAACACCATTATATTGGCATGCAATCATATTTTTAATATCTTATGGCCATGTCTATTTTATCTAGTGCACTATATAGTCATTTTATTCGTTTGTAAATGAAATTCTGCGATTGTGATTAAAGACAACAAGGCCGTATTTTGCTGCATTGTGGCAAACAGAATTCCTGGCTGGGTGTTAATGGCAAATAAAGACCATTTGGCTAATGGGTAATGGACTTTTCAAGCTCTGTTCTTGAGCATACAGCTATTAAAATCATTATCATTCTTGAGTTAATTTGACAGCAAAAAACAAACCGTGAGTTGTTAGGTCCTAGCTTTCACATTTACAGCCTCCTTTTTCTTTTTTGCAGATTTTAAATGGTCATTTTAAATGAATGTGACAATCGCACTGTTTATATGTCCTTTGTTGTGCCTGTATGCTCCAATAATTTCTGGGGTGAAATTACTCCATAAAATTAGTTGCCCATCATTTTACTCTCCCTGATAAATGTGCAGGATACGAGATTTGACAAACACACAACCAATTGGTAGTTAAATGATGTCAATATATTATTATTTACAGGTTTATTTACTAACATGAGAATTCAAAGTGAATTTCAAATGTAAGGTCAAAATAGCCGAACTTGAATTATTTTCTAAGTCAATTATGCTTTCAGCTTGGCTTCTCTAGCCTTGGATTTAAAATTCTCTATGAATTCTCACTTTAGTAAATAGCCCTGTATCTGACAGTAAACCGCGTTTCTTGTACCGTATTGTGTGATTAAATATGAGTCTAGTTTTGTAACCAAATGTCATGGGCATGGATGATTTGCTAGCATTTATTGGATGGGAAAGATTTAAATTCAGCAGATTTCTGATCTGGCATTTTGCCTTCGGGGCACATCTAATATATGAAATATTGGCAGAAGTTCACCCAAGCCTGCTGCTCTCAGTGTGCGAGATGATTTTACACTGCTGTTGGTAAAATACAAAAACAATACAGGACTAAACAGTGAACGTAATATTAGAACAAAGAATAATATAAATTAGTACTCTCCAAAATCTCGATGTTCCTTGCTCTTGAATGTAAAATATTAGATGGATTTAGGGTCACCAGATCTATCATTAGGTGGCCACATCACTTCTTCATGTGGTTGGACAATATGTGAAATGAGCTGTTTTGTAGTATGTATCTTTTGTCTAATGCATGAAGGAAATTATACACCTCCAACAGTGTCATTGGGGCGTCATTAGTCATGAGACTCGTGCCTGGCGGGTGCCCAGAAAAGTGGGCAAACCTTTGAAGAAAAAAAAAAGGTTTGCCCCATTACAAAGGATCTAAGCAAGGATACTCCTGGCATCATAATCACCATTTTAAAATTTCATTCTTACAGCAGATGAATGCTACATACTACCAGACAGCGGTTTTCACAAGCTGCCTATACACATGAAGGACCGTATGTGTTCGTGGTGGATGTGACTACCCTAGATACAGTAGGTAGGACTTGCTATTCTTTATTTACATGCAGCATTTATTTTCCTGTTTGAAAAGGTCATGAAATGAGCTGTTGTAGAAACCTGTCGGACATTGAATTCATTGAGTTCCTTTATTGATGGTAAAGGAGTATATCCAGTTGTAGCATTGCCTGTGGAACTTACTAGGTTAATTGGCAAACCCTCAAAGTTGTTGGAGTTTTAAGCCCCTCTCATGCCTAGTTAACCAGCTGTGCACAAATAGCTATGTGCTTTATGGTGAGAAAGACCAATTATGGGAGAACTGTACAGGATGAGAGCTATCAGGCAGCTGTTACGTTCCTGCCATGAACTATAAGCCTATCATGTGTCCGATGAAACTGTAAGAATTGCTGCGGGAGATTATGGGGACATCAGTTGTGCTGCCAACTAAAGAACCATTTACATGCCAGATGGGGCCATACAATGTGCTTCAGATCAATTAACATTGCTATAAAAGATATGTGTTAAATTTTTAGTGTCACGTAAATTGATTTCGAAACCGGCGCATGTTACATTGCAAAAAAAAAAAATAGCCACCTTTTCCATATGCATTCATTCTATCCAATAAAAAACATTGTATCTCATGTTTCTAATTTTGTTACTTTGTAATTAATCCTCTCCCCTCTCTCTCTCTCTCTCTCTCTCTCCTTTTTATTTATATACATACACACACACACACACACACACACACAAACAAACACATTAATATGTGGAATAAATTGTCCATTTTCAAATGGGCACAAAAAGTGGACATTTCAAAGAGACTTGTCAGAGATCTCGGTGAAGTGTTCTGTGTGCGTCATGAGACCCCTGTCTTTTTAACCCTACAACTTAAAGAGGTACTCAAATGTTCATGACCACTTCTGCTTTTAGAAGTGATCATGGAGTAAGGAATCTAGATGTGCAGTGAGTAATTTGTAGTTGCACCCTTGCCACATGTGACTTAGGCAGCCCAGAACTTGGTTCCAGATGCCTAATGTCAGTTCTGTCCATATTTTACGTCTGTCATCCATGCACACTGAACATTGGCAACAGACTCAATCTGCTTATCTGTTTGGTTTGTGTCTCCCATTAGCCCTCCTGATTCCATTGTTTTTTGTTTTTTTCCAGAATCCCTCCACACTCCCTCTCCCCATACACTTGCTGGCTCTGAGAAAGCTCAATGGTCCAAACAAAGGCTTCTCTCTGACAAGTGCTTTGTCCAGTGCTGGATTTCAGATGTGTAAATCTTTTATTGCTTTTTCTTAACAGCGTTTGTGGTGGTACCTAAAGAGTAATGCCAAATAGGGAATTATTCCTTAAAATTTTATTTTTTTAAAATGTATAAGGGTTTGGTAAACTTTTAAAACCTTGTCATTTAGTAGATACAGCAGTATCTTCTAAATAGCCACTAGAGGCACATTCACCCCAATAGCGGTGTTTCCCCTAGGGGAAATATTGGGCTGACTGAGATCTGCAACACTGAAGATCTCCGCCAAAGAGGTGAAGCGACATTGTGGAGACTGGCTCAGTGAGGGCTAAAAAGTAAGTAATACTCACCTTTCAAACCCTCACACTGCAGGGGAGACACCAAAATGTGGTAGATTAAAACTGTAGCGTTAGGAATACTGGTTTGTATTCCTAACGCTATTGTTTACCTTTAATGGGGAGCAAGGGCCTACATTTGTATTTGCTATTAAATTGTATATAAATATGGGTTTGCCGAACTACCTTTGCTCTTTTCAACCTTTGGCCGCTGCTCTGATAAGCTGTTGTTTTTCAGCGGAGTTAATCAACACACTATCCTTTCTGATAAGACTAAATGTTACAGTGCTACCTCTAGAACAGTAATTTTAAACTATTTATTTATTTATTTTGTAAAGAAATTACAAACATGGTATTATGGAAATCCATTTTTTTTATTTTAAAAATGGATAAATGACTTATGCTTTAGGTTTAATGTATATTAAAATATGAAAAAAACAAAACCTATTTGACTGTGGTCCTAAAATTGGCATTGGAAGGAGACAGTAATGTTTCAATAAGCATTTGTGGTTAATGACAGATGTGGCAAAGAAAAAAAGTGATATTTCTAATGGTGTGCTAGAATGACAGAGAAAGGTGTAAACATCTGTATAGATAATGAGCACTCACTTTTTACCAAAGATACAAAAATGTTCTTCATTCACAAAATACTTACACTCCAAACCATTCCACGAAAAATACCTCTCGATTGTAAATGCTCTAAGGTAATTGTGAGTAATTTGTATATTAATATATATATATATATATATATATATATATATATATATATATATATATATATATATATATATATATATATATATATAAAATTTTTACATGATTTGTCCATATAGTGCTTTGCAGCTTTCTGCAAATCTCCGGTATACAGGCGACATAAATCTCGAGGTGTGGCCTTAAACCCATAGTGACCAGACCGTTTTTCAATTTTCTTACCGTTAAGGACCAGGGCTTTTTTAACATTTCTGCAGTGTTTGTGTTTAGCTGTAATTTTCCTCTTACTCACTTACCGTACCCACACATATTATATAATGTCTTCCTCGCCATTAAATGGTATTTTTAAAGATACCATCATTTTCATCATATCATATAATTTACTCTAAAACAAATGCTAAAATATGATGACATTTTTTTTAAAACACACTTTTTCTAACTTTGACTCCCAAACTCTGTTACACATCAACAACCTCCAAAAGGGGGGCGGAGCCTGACTGCCGAGCAGGATAGACGTGCTGCAAACCAGCTCCTGCAAAAAACGACAACAATGGGGAAAAATACCCCAAACACAAAATCACCCACAAGTCAGAGGGCATGGGACGAGCTGGGGAAACCCGGGGGCATCGAAGGAACCCACAAACGAGACTCACACTGCCCGGGATCCCACGCAAAGCACATGGGGCCTACATGCGGCCGAGCCAGGGAGAGACGGCCGCTCTTCTGGATGGTAAAACCGCACACACACCCCTCAGTGCACCAGCCTTCCTCCCCCCCGCCCCCCGGGCCGGCGGGGGTCATCCCGGCCCGCACTCGACATCCACAATCACCAGCAGAGACAGCAGTACAAGCCTGACCCTGACAAGCAAGGCTACAACCTCCTACAAGGCGCACCTAAAATGGCGGCCGGCAGCGGGATATGCAGGATGGCCATGTGACCGACACAACCGCGATGGAGAGAGCCACTGCAGAGCTTAGAGGTGATACTGACCCACTTCTGGGATATCCACACACGGCAGCAACAACCAACGGGGGAAGGGACCTCGCAGCGCCCTGGACCCACATGCCAAACACTCAGAGCCGGCGTCGGCTGACCAAGATGGCATGACCTAGAGACAGTCTGTGCCCCTGCAGCAGAGACTCTGCACGATCCCACCGCACAGTATGTCTCACACTGAGCTCAGAACTGGCCCTAACATCTCACAGCAGAGACTGTAAGAAACATATAGCAGCAGTGGAGCAAGCAACACAATATAATAACCTAAGGCAATTAGCTTGTTAACCAAAGATCATTTAGCCGCTGTTTATCCTTTGCACCTGTGTTCTAATGCATGTCAGTATCTACCTTTAAAAATGTGCAGATTCCACTAACTGCTTTTGAATGTTACCATTGTTTTTATGCAGGGCACCTTTATGCTCAGAGTGAATAGAAACAGGGCTACACAATGAAGGCTAACTCTAGCAATGTTAACTGCTGTATGTTGTGTCTAAGCTTAAATACACACAGTTTAACTTTTTAATGTAGTTTTACATCAAGTTACTGCTAACTGCAACCGTGCTTATACAATATGACTACGAATTTAACCTGAATCCACTCTCTAAGCACTTGACTACTCCAATCTCTAGAACCACTGTATGTTTACTTTCTCAAGCTTGAAACCCCATCGTGACGCACCGCAACAGTCATACAAAGCTAGCCTGTATATAGCATGTTTAAAACCTTTAAAGTGTCCCCAGTCTGTTATTTTTCTCATTACAAAGGACGACGCAACTGTTTAACCAAACTTGTTAAAAATTTTAAAAATGTGCAGTCTCTCATGCCACTGTTATACCAATGTATATTTTCCAATACTCTGTTGTGGCGTCTGTTGATTCCTTGTACCTACCTGCACAGCAAAAATAAAGAATAAAAAAAAACTCCAAAAAAACACCCATACCAAATAAATATTTTCAAAATTTCTGTCCTGAGTTTAGGAAATGCCCAAAAATATTGGAAAATTTTAGCTTTTTGCAAGTCATAGGGCTATAAGTACAAGTAGGACATTGCTGTTTCAAAATATATATTTTAAAAATTTATCAATAGTGACATTGTAACACTGTTATCTGTCATATATCTCTGAATCACACCTCATATGTACATTTTTTTTTTTAAATAGACCACCCAGGGTATTCAATATGGGGTATATTCAGTCTTTTTTAGTAGCCACATGAGTCCAGATAAGACATAGGCTTGATAGAAAATAGACAACATTCTTGCAGAGGGTCATAAATATCTTTCTGAAGAAAAAACAAACAAAAAACAAGCAGACAGTGCAGAAGATGGTACACTTTATACAGTCACACACAAATATTTGTGATACATATATTTGTGTGTGTGTATATATATATAAAGTGTACCATCTTCTGCACTGTCTGCTTGTTTTTTTTTTTTTTTTCTCCCTCTCCCCCCTTCACTCGGCTCTTCACAAAGATATTTATGACCCTCTGCAAGAATGTTGTCTATTTTCTATCAAACCTGTGTCTTATCTGCACTCATGTCGCTTTAACCCCTGTATCACTACTCAACTTTGAATTCTATGTGTCGTCTTGCTCAGAAATGCTTCAGACTTGAGAAAGGGAGGTTCTCCCAAAAGCTTGCTTTTAAAAAATTCTGTTAGTCCAATAAAATAGATCACTGGACTAATACGGCTACAATCTCTACGTATATACATATTATATAGATATAATGTGTGTGTGTGTGTGTGTATATATGTGTGTGTGTGTGTGTGTATATATATTGTGATAAAGTGAAGGCAGATAGGCCTTTTAACCCCAGGGGGAGTATGTGTAGTTTGTGTTTTGCACAACACAACGCATTGTTTAGTTATGGGCCCCTGGGGTGGAGCATTTGGAGAGAAGGGTGGGCCAATGCTCCACTCCACAGTTTAGTGGTTTTCTGGGGAGACATAGATCCAGGCCAGGGTTTTTTGGACCGTCTCCAACCCACTGCTCAGGTGCAGTTAATGAGCTATTGCAGTGGTAATAAACCCCTCCCGGCTAGGCAGGAAAAGGAGAGGGATTGCTGGCTTCCTCCCAGGAAGCAGGTAGGAGAGAGAGGCTGTTCTCTCCAGATAGAGTCAAGGAGACTAAGCACTAGGAGTGCAGAAAGGAAGCAGTCAGGGCAAGGCTGGCTTGGAGCACTGGGAGTGCAGAAAGGAAAGCAGTCAGGGCAAGGCTGGCTTGGAGCACTGGGAGTGCAGAAAGGAAAGCAGTCAGGGCAAGGCTGGCTTGGAGCACTGGGAGTGCAGAAAGGAAAGCAGTCAAGGCAAGGCTGGCTTGGAGCACTGGGAGTGCAGAAAGGAAAGCAACAGGCTAGCTAGCAGAGTGTTGCTCTCTAATAAGGTTGGTGCCATATGTTTTGTTTAGTTTAACCCTGAGAGATAGGGAACCTAAAGTGAGTTAGTGCTCAGACCGAGCTAGGTTTTTTGTTTATAGGGTTTTGTGTTACATTTATGTTTTTCATTTACTGCTGTATCCTGTGTGGATTTTCAAATAAAGTGCCTGGAGTATATGCATTTACAAGGACTGTGCATGTTTTTGCCCTAGAGGACCGTGCTACCAACAAACAAGGATCACTATATATATATATATATATATATATAATATATATTTTTTTTTATTTGTAGTCGTGGACAAAAAGCCGTACTTCTAACAGTTTAGACATTTGAGCAAGTCGGTTGTGGTGTGCCGAAACAGACGTATCGGGTAGGCCTGTAATAAAAGAGGGCCCACCTGGTAATGGTATGTATATAAATATTTAGGGGAGTGGGAGGGATGAACCCGGAGGCATCAGCCCTGTGGAGTAGGGGGCCTGTGCTTATATAGCCGGGTAACCCCTCCCACAACTTCAGGCTCCGCCTTCCAATTTTTAGTCGGGGACAAAAAGCCGTACTTATAACAGGTTAGACATTTGAGCAAGTCGGTTATGGTGTGCCGAAACAGACGTATCGGGTAGGCCTGTAATAAAAGAGGGCAAAAAGTTTGAATGAATATCACTTTATTATACATCTTTACATGGCAAGATTCTTAAAGGCTTGTCTTATTTCTGGCTCTGGTTGTGGTATGAATGTGGAATACACTGAGGATTTCCATCGTACTAATCTTTTAATGATGTGAGCTGGAACGTTTTGTCTTGACGCGGCGGAGGCTGCCCCTATTCTGAATGAATGTCCTGTAAAGGCATTGGGGTTAAGACCCAGCCTAGTTAAAATAGTTCTGATATATGAAATTAACTTGGCTGTGGTGAGTAGTTTGCCCTGTATTGTGAATAGGGCCTTGTTAGGATTTGTATCAACGAGTGATGCTACATACTGGTCTATTATTACCACTGGGCACCATTTGTTGGCCGTGGGATAGTAATTTATTTCTGTAGGTGGTCCTGATTGGTTGGTTTTAGTGTGACTGATGGTGAGAACATAATGGTCTGAATGTTTGTTTAGGTCGGATACTTTCAGATAATTTTTTGAGGATGTGATGTTGTCAGCGGTGAATTCGTTGGGTCACAAGAACCCATAAAATGCCAGGTAAACTGCAGTTTTGATGGTGAGATTCGTATTTGGTTCGAAGTGTTTGGTGTCTAATAGGTCGGATAGTGCCCGGAATTTGGGACCGTCAATAGGTTGTCTTTTAGTTGTAGTGAGGTTGTCTAGCCACTGTATGCCTCTGAGTATATTCTTCACTGGGTAGGAGGACATAAATGGTTTGATGCTAGGATAGGCACTTAATATATGGTGTTGGATACCAGTGATGGAGAGTTTTAAGTGAAGGTGGCAAAAGGATATAAATGCTACTATAGTATCCAGAGAATGAACATCTGCAACTTGATACTCCGAGGTAAATTTGTTGTAAACTGCAAAGGCTCTATTGTATGATTTGGAGGTGTTGATTGAAAGGGCAGCGCTAGCCAGGAACCTGCTGTGCGCCATTAAGTGGTTCAGTCCAGAATTAGGTCTTGGAACGAGGGATTTGGCACTGGCGTTTTGTCGGCCAACGGGTGGGCTTCGAAGAATCTCTGAAATTGAGAGCAAGACAGGGCGTCAGCTGCAATTTTAGTGTGTCCTGGTATGTGGAAGCATGTGACATGGAAGTGTAAAGTGGCTGCGAGCCAGGTGAGACGTCTTACTAGCCTCATAATTACTAGGGAGGAGGATCTGCCTTTGTTTAGAATGTCGCTTGCAGCTTTGTTATCTGTAAAGCATTTTACTGCTTTACCTTCCCATAGGTGCCCCCAGACTTTGGCGGCTGCAACTATGGGGTATATTTCAAACAAAGCTGAAGTCGTATGGAATGAGAGCAGATTTGAGGTCTCCAGTGGCCACTTGTCTCTAAACCAGGCATTGTTGTAAATAGCGGAAACCCAGTATGTGCTGCTGTGTCTGTCCAGATAGCGGGAGAATGTTCTGAAACGGGGGGTATGAACATCGCTTTATCATTCCAGTGGGACAGAAACCTGAGCCACATGCGGAGTTTGGCTATGGCGTGTTCATCTAATGTTATGGTGCTGATGTCATTTGTTAGTTGGGGGAGAAGACTGAAGAGTCTTGATATGAATGCTCTGCCTTGAGGTATTATCCTCATTGCAAAGTTTAGTGTACCTAGTAAAGACTGCAGCTCAGTTTTCGTACACTTGTTTACCTTCAAAAAAGACTCCACCGCTTGTGTGATCCTGACAACTTTCTCCCGCGGGAGGCTAGCTTGTAGCGCTATGGAATCTAGCTGGATTCCTAGGAAAACCAAATTGGTGATAGGCCCTACTGTTTGAGAGAGTGGTACCCCTAGTGTAGCAAAAAGCGCCCTTGTTTTGTTAATGCTGGTGGGTGTTGTGTGTGGGGCTTCTATTGTGAGAAAGTCGTCCAGATAGTGGATCACGGATGGACAATCGCTTATGTTGAGAAGGAGCCAACCTAGTGTGTCTGCAAATACGTCAAATAGTTTCGGACTGCTTTTTGATCCAAATGTCAGCCGTGTGGCAAAGTAGTATTTTCCCTCCCACTTGATGCTGTGCACGTGCCATAGGGATGGGTGTATAGGTAAGAGCTTGAAGGCGTTTGAGATGTCTGTTTTGCCTAGCCACGCACCTACCTCTGCTCTTAATATGGCATGGATAGAGTTATCCACTGTGGCATAGTATAATGAAAACTCTGGAGAGGGGATTAATGAGTTGATACTCGGAGTAGACAATGAATGTGGAGCTGATAAATCGGTAATGAGCCGTAGTTTATTGGAGAATTTACCCTATGGGGTTTGTGCGCCAACAGGAAAATGGTGGGTGAGTGAAATGTCTCAGTATGAAGCCGTTGTCTAGCTCTTTTTTTGATCAGAGCTTCGATGTTCTGGGGGACAAGTAAAGCTGACTGTAGGTTGTGACATTCGTGGGTGCAAGTAGTGAGTGCAATTATACCTGTGTGGAAACCTACGGTGAAACCTTGAATCAAAAAGTCTACTAAGGGCGGTGAAGGGTGTGCCTGGAGATAGTCTGCCAGGTTTTCTATGTTTTCTTCGGTCAGTCATTACTTAGGATACAGATGGTTAGGGCACATGGTTTTAGTGTGTGCCCTCAAACAAATTGAGCAGACGTGCAGTAGCCTGCATGAGCTAAATCCGCAACTGCCAGAATTGAAATTGTTGCAGATTTGTGCCTTTCCTAGGAATATGATAGGCCTGCCCAATTTGTCTTTAAGACCTCTGTGTTCCGTGGCTGACGAACCAAAGGGGGTACGGCTGGTGGTAGGGAGATTTGGATCTGCCGGACACAAGTTGGTGGAGTGGGACCCGGAAGCGCATATGGTGCAAGAGGGGGGCTTCAGACCTGCGAAGTGGCGACAGAATAGTTCAGTGTCAAGCCTATTCCAGTTCATGTGGATGTTAAATTGTGCTTAGGAAGCTGCTGCTTTGGCGGAAAAAGATTTATGGTAGTCGTAGTATGCAAAAGCACCATACTTGTGTCCCAGATCCACCAACTTGTGCATGTACAAGTCAAATTCTTCCCTACGGTGAGTTGAGGTGGAGCAAATTACGTCACAGTACAGTCCAAAGGTGAGCATGAATTCAGAGATAGTTAGTTTGCAATTAAGTCTCTGGCTTTTAGTACGACCGACAGATCCCCATAGTTGTATGATTTGTTCTCCATGACATCCTAAGAGGCAATTAGCAGGGAAACCAGGTTGACGTCCTTGCCCTCCAGGATGTCCTTTCGAACGGTCAGGGGTACTAGGTGCGCAGGAGTGACTGTGGGCGGAAGTGCCGGGAGTGGGGTCAAAATAGATGGGATTACCGTGTGAAGGAGAGGGGATGGGGAGCTCTGTTTCAGGGGAAGGTATAGGATTCTCCAGTTTCTCTAGTCTGACGCTGATGGTGTTGATGGAAGTTAGTAGGGCTATGTTCTTAACTTTGGTGAAGTTGCCT